CACTCCTCTACTAACCCGATGGATTCCCTTGCGCACTCATCTGATATCATCTCAAATCGTTCCTTCTCTCCATTGGAATAGAGCATAATCCCTCGAACTCAAAGAAACAACCAGAGAAAGAAGAAAAATCAACCCTTTTCATGCCTTTTTCATCATCCCTCTACTTTCACCTCCTTTCCTTCCCCCAACGCCCGTGCTTTTGTATCCTCTGTCTGCTCTTCTCTCCTCTTCATATGCCATGGCAGTTAGTTGTCCGTTGAAAAAATAAGGCCCGCCAAGGAAGTAAAAAGGGAAAAATGGCATCAAAGCTGTGATATTTGCCGCAACTAGACAGCAAAATGGTGCAGTAAGAAGCTGGGTTTATGGCACAAAATGTGTAGCAATAAAGCTGCTTTAATGGAAGAAAGAAAAGGGCAGCAAACAGCCGCATTATGGAAGAAAATGAAATGCAAATGCAAATGAGATGCAAATGGAGGCTGCAAATTAGCGGGTTAAAGCCAACTGTCATCCCTCTACTTTCATTTTTTGTTCATACCCATCCCTCTACTAAGAATTTGTTCCTTGTCGTCCCTCTACTTCCCTAACACTAATCAACGTCGTCCCTCTACTAACCTTTATCCATTCAATGTCGTCCTTATTTGGACGGCGTTGGTTGTGCAGTTTATTTTGATTGTTATATGCCGTTAATCAATTGTTAACACAATTCTTTAATTTTTTTCACTTGTTCTAACTTAGTGGAGACCACATGTTACTTTCCTTTTCATCGTCTTCCACTCGACATTTCCCTAAACTGAATCCCTTTTTTTTTTTTTTTGGCAGAAACCTAATGCCCACCCCTAAATTAAATGAAATTAACATATTTTAACTCACTATCCATGTTGTTGGGATATATTTTTTTCTTTAAAAAATATAATTAAAAATTTATTATTAAAAATAAATAATAAAAGAATTTATTATTTTATAATTTAATACAATTTATTAAATTGCAAAATAAAGATCTTTTATGGGAAAGACTTTCAATATTAAGAGTTCATTTGTTATTTAAGGTTTTATATTTTGTAATATAGTATAATCTAAATTACAAAAAAAATTTAGTTATAAAATACTAAAATAATA